CTCCACTGCCCTCTCAAACAGTTCCCAACCGCCACCCCAACTCTCCGCCAGCCACACCCATCTCTTTTCATGGCATTGACTCCCACACTGCCGCTTTCGCCTACTAACTGTTCCGCAACAAACTTCCACTATCACTCCGCTCCCCCACCCGATTACTCTTAACCCCTCCCCACGCCACCTGCCTGTTCCCACCGCCAAACCACTTTCATCCCGCTTCTTATCACACTCTGCTATCCACCGTCGCTGTCGCCCATGCACACGCACCCTCACCGCCCATTTCTTGCTCCGCCCTCCGCTCCTGCCACCATCTGCTGCCCTCAACTCCTTCACTGCCGCTCCCTCACAGAACCCCAAACTTCCCCCCTACAAAACCAGACACAAATACAGCTCCTTTCAATGTCTATTGACCCCCACATCCGTTGCCGTCCGCCGCAAATATCCCTCCCGCCAAATCCTTCCCTCCGTTCGCCCCACACTCCACCCTGCCGTCGCCCCGCTTCACTTTCGCTATCTTTCGCCCCGACTCCGCCCATCCGTCAGCACTTCCCACAATACACCCCCGTGGCCTCCACCGTCGCTGTTCGCCTGTACCGGCTGGTCATCCCTTTTCACCGCCCTACGTCATCACAATCCCCAGGCCGCCCGACGCGCCGAGCGAATTACCTTTCGCCCGCACGCGTAATGAGGCTCCGCCGCCAGCCGTTATTGAAAACCCTGCAATACCTCACAGCACCGCCAAGAGCGAGCGGCGCGGTGCGACGACGAACGCCCTCCCTGGCCACCGCCGCCCCGCCCGCTGGCGGTCAGCGCCGCTCGGCGGCCCCAGCACGCACACGCGACGGGGCGCGGGGGGAGCGTGTACGAGGACGCTCGGCGCATTGGAATATGTGGCGCCCGGCACCTCTCTCTCTCTCTCTCTCTCTCTCTCTCTCTCTCTCTCTCCTCTCTCTCTCTCTCTCTCTCTCTCTCTCTCTCTCTCTCTCTCTCTCTCTCATCTCCTCTCTCTCTACGCTCTACCATCTACTCAACATCTCCAATCTCCCTACATCTCTCTCACTCTCCATCTACTCTCTCTCTCTCTCTCTCTCTCTACTCTCTCTCCTCTCTCTCTCCTCTCTCATCTCCCTCCTACTCACTCCCTCTCTCTCCCTCTCTCCTCTCATACTCAAAACCTCTTACTCTCCCTCTACTCTCTCTCTCCCTCTCTCTCCCTCCGTTCCCTCTCCACAAATTACTCCTTCTCCCTCTCTCTCTCCTCTCTCTACACACGTCTGCTCCTCTAAGGGAAAAACTTACACAATCATAACTACCTCATACTATCTCTCTCCCTCTTTTT